CACGCTATCTGCTATTTGAATTTCAGACAAATCCTTAAAAGCTTGGTTTTCCCCTCAGCTATACTGATGTGAGGAATTTTTCAGTGAAATTATACAAGTATGGCCAAAGAAAAAGTTGAATAATGTGTACTTCATTGAGATATCATTGATTGGTTGTAATAATGTCCTCCTACAAGCTTTATCTGAAAGGAAAATTTGAAAGATTTCATCTTTTAAAGATAGTCTTTTAGATGCATTTCCAACCCAGATTTGGGAAAGTGGTTTGTAATGGGAACTGCAGAATGAAACAACTATAGGAAACCATTGCAAATTTGCTTGAATCAAGAAATTATTGTATGGGAGATATTTGTACTATTATCACATTTTCCCTCAGCTAAAGAGATTTTACATTCTCATAGCTCCTAAACACAAGACTTTGGAATTACCTTTGAAATTCTTTATGGCTCTTACAAATGAGCCCACAGATCCCCTTGGGAACACCGTGAGAACGCCAGGTCTCACTGGGGAGATAACAAGAGACAGCAAAATAATGAATGTGCAAAACAAGAACCAGCCCAGTCTGCACACGGCCAAGGCTGCGATGAGGGCAGAGGGGCTGAAGAAAGGTGATTCAGCACAGTTTCACAAGGTGGTTTGCTACGTTCTAGAGGGAACACACTGCAAATTAAGTCTCTGAAGGGAAATTATCACCAAAAGGTTTCTTAAGAAGGAATATTGTTCCTTTAATGGCAAAACCCTCAGAGCTGAAGAAGTCCATACTACCAAATTAATGGGACATGGAGAATTAAATGCTGATCTCCCACTGGGTTCTCTATTGGTCTTTGTCTTTGCATTTTATCCAAATTCTGCCCTGGATTCCACCTAGCACAGATCTATCTAGGGCACAGCAGGAACCCACAGCTACAATCATTGGGGCTTTCACTTTGTAAAGATGCAGAATTCTTAAAATACTTTGAGTCCACTCCCATTAATCATCCATTGCAAAATGAAATATATCAGGAAAACACCCTATCCTTGGTAAGAACTTCTACAGCTACTATCTTTTGGTATTTTCTTTGGAATCACTTTCCTGCTCATCTGGGGGTATAGAGAACAAAGGTTTCACATCTCACCACAGACAGTAAAAGACTTCCCATTTATTCCTATATTTTACATGATAGACCGAATTAACCAACAACTGCATCCACTAGGAATATTAAGATAGCAACACAGTGGAGTTGGATTTGTCACTGATCAGAGGAGTTAATGCTGAGCACTCTAGATAGGAGTGGTGCAACTCTTACATGGTACACACCTGTCTCGTAAACATCAGGGTTATATATATATTTTTTCCTTTCTTATTGACTATGCAGGGATTTTTACTGATTTTTACCCCCACAGAACCAGCACATCCATAACTGAATGAAACTTCTCATTTTGCTGATTATAGTTTGAAAAATCTTAATATGGTGTAGATTACCCAGAATCCTCCCATCACTGACTCACTCATACAAAAGCCCTTTCCCTGTTACGTACATCTCCTGCAGTAAATCTTACATACTTATTGATTGTTGAACATCAAATTCTGGAGAGAATAACCTAATGAACTTTTCCACATATCACTCTGACCTTTTCTAGATAAATCCAGTAAAGGCAGCATTATTTCTTCCTTCAGACATAAAACATTCATCTTGCAGTAACTCTGATAGATGCCACCAGAAATGCCCCACAAGACTGAGATAATTATTTTCCTGCAAAAAGTCACCAAGATCCAGTCCATTCAGCAGATATTGATAACACTGTGGCAGATCACACACCATGATATCATCACACATTTCCTTCTTTTACTGTGTAAAAAGCTGTGAATATCAGACTTCACTTTTTTTTTTTTTTTGGCTCAGTAGAGAGAGGAGAGAGGAAGAAGTACAGCTGTTATCCAAAGCCATGAATGCTCCTCAGAGCTTCTGGAAACTCACCCCCAGGGAGGACAAAATAAAGGCATCAGCTCTGAAGGGTATTTTCAAGTTCAGCAGCTGAGACACCAGGAGCTATGGAACACCAAATTAGACACTAGCTCCATTGAGCTTCTGTGTATGGCAGAGATCATACAGCACAATGACATCAATAGGAAATCCATAGGTTTTGATTTTATCCTGGATGCAGCTTTCCCATGAAACAGTCTGGTTTGTGACAATTGCTTTATATGCCTGTTCTTAGCAGATGCAGAAGGAAAAGCTAAATGGACATCAAATATCAATCTGTCCTTGCCAGCAACGTACTGTCAGCCCAAACGTCTATTTTAACTCAGAATAATGAGAACATTTAGCCCTTTCAAGTTCTGGTTTTACTTCAGCTAAAGCAACTACACATCAACTTAATGTCTTTCTTTATTCAGTGACACAGAGGTCACCGCTGTGAGATTTATTTGATTTCACAGTTTGGCTAATTAATTTGCTCATTCTGAGCATACACCATCAGCGTTGCTTTTGGAGTAGTACTACCAAAGCAACAGATTAATTTACATGGTACAGTGCATCCAGAATAATTATTACCCCACAGAATTGTTATTGCTCAAAATCTGAGGGGAGAGGGAAGTTTCCTACTGTGATAAAAGGGCTCTGTTTTGGCTTTATCAGCTGAAAACTATGAGGACTAGATTACAAAAGAAGCTTCTTGCTAATGTTAAGCAGCACAAATATCCCAAAGTCCATGAAGCTGTTACAAGACCAAATTTGTTTCTCAGTTTTAATTCTTATCAAATTATGTTGACAGGCTCAAAATTCTCAAGCCACCCCCATTCCTCCAGCAATATTAGCAGGCACTTCACTGATCAATGCCAATTAATACAGCAGCAGTTTCCTTGGCACTGAAGCGCTGCTTACCCGCTGCTTTGAAAGCAAGTCTGTATAAAGGCCTTTATAAAAACGTACTTGAAAACTGATGGAGCACAGGTACAGAAGGGAAACTTTAAGGGGACAGCAAAGTGAGATCTATAGCATCTCGCCTCGAGAAGGTTAAGTACCTTGAGTTCCGGACAACAGATTCACCAAGGAGGCAGCTTTTACATTACCAGTGAGAGCTGATCTGAATTCTCTTGTTCTGCTTCTTGGGTCTTTGATTTGCTTTGAGCAATGCGTTAATTCTTCTCACTAAGCTGCAGAAGCGATCTTGACTTCTCGCTGGACATCCAGTTCATACACCTCGTTCCCATTTCTGGGACACTCAGCGACTAAAGCCAGAGGCTGGAGCTGGGTGCCAAGGGAGCGTTCACAGCTGCAGACCTCACTAACAGCAAGAGTGAGCAAGTCAAGTTTTAAAGGTTTCCAGCGTGCCCGAAAAAGGTGACAATTGGGATGAAGTAAAGAAATGTCAATGACTGCTTCCCTAATTAGCCTTAGAAAGGACTTGAATAGCTGTCAGCTAGTCAAGTGAGCTAAGAACAGGTTAAGAGCGATAAGACTTAGCAGGTAATTGGCAGACCAGATAGCATGTAATTTGCAACCTATTTGGAAGTGCTCACATTGCACAAAGCGCCACGTTACAGGTTACAAAGCAAATATATGGACCCAAGCGTATGTTATATTTTCCTTCCATCCCATTCCCGGCTTCTCAGAAGGGCAGACGGGTGTATTTATCGTAGAAAACCTTCCATTTATGGGTGCCTCCAGCCCTGCAAGGTTTGTGAATACAAGCAACGTACCAAAAGAAGCGTTTGTTGTGCAGTCCTGCCCTTAACAGTAGGGGAGGTTTCCCCGGCCTGTGAGAGCTCTGGAGAATCTTCCAGGATGTTCTTATGACAAAACTGAGCTAAGGGAGCCCATAGCCTCGCAGAAAGGACAGGCAGGGTCCGGGCTGCGACAGCCTGCAGCAAGCACGAAGAAAAAGCAGCCAGACTGGAGCTTTCTGTGTCAGAGGCCCTGAGCTGCAAGGATGAAAGTAACAGCAATTGCTGGATGGCTTTTAGGGATTACAGTAACTGAGGAAGTTGCAGGAGAATGTCAATAAAAAAGCTGCTGCTACGTTGGCCATAACTCGTTCAGAGAGCTGACATAGGTGATAAGAGCCTTCAACAGAATGGGCTGAGAAAGATAACTGCTCCCATTTCTTCTCTTTCTCCACCTGCATTTTGGGGAAGTCACGAAGGCAGCAGCATACAACGAGCACGTGTATCCTGAAAGAATATTTCTTTGATATCATGCTCATCATTAAATAGATTAGACTCACAGTAGTAGCAGCTGGAACAGTTATTTCCTGATCTTTGGAGTTTATGCAGCTACACTTCAGACTCAAAAGAGATGTTATTTGCAGGCGTAATTCGTCCTATTTTGACCCCATTCATAAAGTCAAAATAACACTGTACATTTACTACAGGGGATTTTGAACTCCATTTCACAACTATGATTTAATATTGCCACAGGGAAATCAACCAATCATTGCACATCAGAAAAAATACACTCGTGACCCCATTTAAAGTGAACCAGTCAATTGAATTGAAATGTTTGAAGATTAAGAATACAGAATTTTATTAGCATTACTTAAACATCATAATACTGTCTGAGTATAATGCAAACCCTGCAAACAGATGAAAAGCATTTGCCTTGTGTAGAATATATAACAAGTCCTTCAATCAAGCCTCCTCTACAGCTTCCAGGAACCTTGATAGCTTGAACACAACTAGAAGTTTTTTCCTCTTTATCATAAATGCAGAATTATTTCACTGACATCAGTGGCCTCCAGTGAAAAGTCAAGGTACTTGGGTTACTCAGAGATTACATCTTGTCAGATTAGTTTTTAAGAGGAGAAAAAGAAGAAGGCAAAGCTTGGTGCAGCCTCCTTATCCAAACCATTCCTTCAAGCTTCCTTGACTGCAGCAAAAATCAGACCAAGTAACATCACTTCCACTTCTTCCTCCTCCTTCTATAACAAGGCTGGACCTTAAGCACCTACTTCCCCAGCCAGGCACCACCTCTTAGTTTCCAGTAATCACAGTACACAAAATAGTCATAAAAACCACTGCCTACCTTTCATCCAAGTACTTCCCAGCTCCAGCACACATCCCCCTCCTGCTCCTTTGCCTGCTAAACTCAGGAAACAGCTGCACTTAGTTAAATAAATACCAGTGGTTTCAGCCCACAGGTTCGGTGAGTTCTGATGAATTGAGGAGATTCAAGTCACCTGTGTACTCTGGATTTCTACGAGTACAATGAAAATAAAATATGAAAATAAAATATATCAATTGATCAAGTGATCATTGAGGGTCTATTTATTTATAGCCATCTAAAGGCCAATGGCAGGCTGTACCCCGAAGGTTCGAAAATGCCATATACAGGTGTATTTATATTAAACACACATAGACACTATATTACATATGTATGTGCAAAAACATTATATTTTTTTCAGCAGACCAGACTACAGAGGCAGTAAAATGAGTAAAACCCTGATATTTTTCTTAATTCGTTGCTTACAAAAACCTCCCATACTCTCTGCTGAGGACCATCCATTAGACAAGGCTGTTCCTAAGGCTTGTCATGTTCATGGTTCTTTGCTTTCAAGCAGTGTGCTCACAATAGGCATTCAAAATCCCTGTATGCCAGATATAAATACCATATTGTAGCTGCATGAACCTGATTGAAAATGCATTATCTGGTAATGGTACATGGAGCCTATTTCGCATCTCTCGCATGCTCATTCATTGGAGATCAGATCAGGCCAAAAGCTGTGGCCATTGAGTGTACAAGCAATAGACTGTGTAGAATGAACTGTGATATTGATCCACTGCCTGGAGGATAGGTCCCACTATCACAAACAGTACATATAGATAGCACTGCTGCATTCAGTATTTCAAATATACAAGCTAGGACTAGGGATGCAATTAGAGCTGGGTTAAATTACTAGGCAGAGTTGTTTAAAAAGTGATAAACTGTTATGCAAAGGTCAGTTTTGTATGCTGAGCTGTTGCTTATGCTTATTCCCCGTGTAATTCCCTCCGAGGACTTTTCTTTTGGCCTGCAAAGAGCTGTGTGTGGCTGCAGGTGAGGCAGTAAAGCCTGTAATGCCATCCTTCAAGTGCGTGGAGGCATGAGACATGGAGGTGTAGCCATGGATGAACAGTTGGGAATAGTAAGTATCTAGAAGAGGAACATAAGTTCATTTCTAAAAAGAGCCAGTCTGCATGTGATACTGACCTTTACACTGTGGGAGAACAGAAGGGCTGTGACTTCTAATTTGACACTGAACTTCTTGGTCTGCATCAACCAAAGCTCTATATGTTGTCAGTAGGCTTATCTGTTGCTCTCTGTTGTGTGAGTTCCCTAATTTAGGATCTACTGCATTCTGGTAGCTATTTCTATCAAGCAACACAATTGAAATTTTCTCACTGATGACCATCATCAATACAATCGGACTATGATTATCAAACTGTTTGTGCACTTGTCCTACAAATACATGGGAACTGAGCAGTACACAAAGTACTGTGCAAACTGTATACAAAGCCATATTTTCATTTGCTTGGTCTATTCACAGTGTGGAAGGATATGAACTGAGTGCCTAATTAAAATGAAGTGAAACTCATAACAGTTTATTTGCACAGCAGTGCATTTGCCGCGTTAGTCATTACATTGCATTCAGTACCTTACCATTTAGTTATAGTACACCAGAACTGCCACTTAAAATGAAGTGTAACATATTCTTTCTTTTATTTGTGTCCAGAGTCTTAACCATCTGCTTTATGTGGCTTCATCAGTTTACACATCATGCTACTAATGACGACAAAGCTCTAATTGAACGTGTGCTGCAAATGATAAGAAGGACCCATGCTTATTAGCAATGGGTAAAACTTGAGCAATTCACTTCTGATCACCATTCTACATGTAAAGTTATGCCAGTCTTACCTTTAATGAGTCCAAAATCAAGAAAGAGGTAGAATTGCAGATTCCATCAATGCAATTCCTGGAGATGGAATTGCAGATTCAGGACTTTAAATGTATACATATTGCAGTATTCAAACGATCTCTTCACTGTAGAGCATTCTATGATTCTCTGATTTGGTTTGCTCTATGAAAAGTCCAGTTCATCATAGCATACATCAATTTAGTGGCTGAAGAGAGTGAGATATCTAAGTACAGACAGAATGGTTCTGCTCTCCAGGAGAATATATTTCCTCTGGTTCTTTTTTGGAGGTGCAGAGTTTGTACCCACAAGATGACCTCAGGAAATGGAGCAAAGATGCAGTGCTTATGGGACAAAGGACACCCTTCCTCTGCAACCAGTAACTTCATGTTATCTTCTTCACCTCCTGAATGGCCCACAGTCCTGAGCAGGGATCTCACCTTTCTTCAGCTGGAAGGACTTCTTTTGCTTTTAATTGCATATGTTATGACAAATTACTGAGCCCTTACTGTGAAATTTAAACCAGAAGCCAGCACACTGCTAAAGCAGTATGAAAAGACAGCAGATCTGTGAAGCCTTTGTAGAAGTGTCTGTGAAAGAAGAAAAGAATGAAATGCAGATGCAAAGTGCGTGTATGTCTCCTGTACCAGCATAGTGAAGGTGTCCCAACAAGGCTGGGGTTTCTAGGAACTGTAACCAGACATAAATTAAAAAAAAAATACACTGATTACAATTGTAAATCCAAGGTGATATTCCCAGTGTCTCTGGTAAGTAATTGTATACTGAATTGTTTTACAGTAGCATAGAAAAGATCTTTGAGATTTTTGCTCGAGTTAAATAGATCTTGTAAAGAAAATGTGCTGCCTCATTCAGCAAACATCAAACATAAGCATTTTAGTTCAACATCAGAGGTGCATAAACAGTATGCAAAAACTGGGTCAAAATATTTGTTTAAAAATGCTGCATATCTAAATAGGAAAGGGAATTGTTAATCCACGGACAGAATAGATCACTCTTGCACTGATTACTTTCTTCTAATTGTTTTATAATTGTTGCCATTGGTACTGTGCATAGATGGTGGGCATAAATAATTCTACTTTAACAGAAGAGTTTGCTGAATTGGAGATACTAATTTAATTTTCAAAATCTCTTTTCCTAAAGTTTGAAAATCAGCACATTTAAAGATGTGAAGGCAAATTTTGGCTATGTCTGATTGGGAACATGTGCATTTCCATTCCCCTAAGCAAGCCCAGCCCACACACTTGGCATAAACCTGCAATGGGAATTTATGCTTTCCAGGTACTCATATCCCAATCTGTTTCTTCCTCCCTCCCTCCCTTCCTTCCTTTCTTTTCTTTCTCTCTTTCTCTCTTTCTTTTTTTCTCTCTTAATTTTTTCTTTCTCTCTCTTTCTTTCTTCTTTCTTTCTTTCTTTCTTTTCTTTTCTTTCTTTCTTTCTTTCTTTCTTTCTTTCTTTCTTTCTTTCTTTCTTTCTTTTTCTTTCTCTCTCTCTCTCTCTCTCTCTCTCTCTCTCTCTTTCTCTCTTTCTCTCTTTCCACAGAAAAACCCAACCCCATTTCCTAAAACTTCTGAGTCTGCAGAGAGAAAATGCTTTTGTAAACATGACCCAGATATCCACTTTGAATGTGGTAGTGATCAAAATTATCGTACAGCTTTTGTAATCTGATTTCCAAAGTTCTACTTGTAATGGATTCCTTTGTGTTTATTTCCTTTAACTGTGTCATTTTGGAATATTTATGGATACTGTTCTCCTTCAACAGAGTCCTTGCCCTTGTGAAATAAGCAGCCAGCAGAGCTTAGGATATACCTCAGTATAAATTATTTATGGAGAGCATAAAGTATTGAAGAATATTGTTTTAAACTTTATTCTCTGGCAGTATACAAAGAAAAAGAAAGCATCATCTAATTAACATGTAGGCTTTATATGAAATAGAAAGAATTTGCTTTCTCTGACTTATGGTATTGCAACCTTTGACAGGATTTTTTTAATAAAAGATAAGAAGTATGTTTCATAGAAAAAAAAAAAAAAAACAACATGGATGAGTTATCCCTGAAGTAAATACTCAGCTTCTGAGACATAAATAAGGAGGCTAATGTAAGAGGAATATAGAAAGACCGGTTTAAAGGAAAAGATGAAAGAGTAAAAAGAATGAGTGTGCCATGAAAACTCTCCTGGGTTAACTAGAAAAACTTGTCAGGGTTTGTGCAAGGAGAAAAGAAATACAACATTAAAGATCAAACAAAAAGATCCTGAAAATTGGGTAGCAGTTTCAGGTATTTATGTGTACCTGCTAGGTAGCGACATATGTAAGAAGGACCTGCAGTAAATGCTAAGAATGAGTAAGGCAGAATGATCGAAACCTAGAAGCAAAATGTTGTTTTCCATGAAGACTTTGGTTGTGGGTGCTCCCACAAGCTGTGAATCCAACCTTGGTGTTCCTCCAACCTGGTGTGTTGGGCAGATGCTGGGCACCAGCACAGGAATCAGGTGGCAGGCGGAGGAACGAAGCTTCACCACTGCTGAAGGCTGGGAGTGCTTGGAGCCCTCTGCAGCCATGTGTCCTGACAGCAAGCTCAGCTTCTTAGCAGCTACAAAGCAGTCGTCCAGGCTTGACTTTTAAATTAATTTGATTGTAGCCTGTTTAATTACAGCCTATGTTAGCGGTATTGATTTCCTTGGACAAAATGTGCACACTGAGGGCCTTGCTAACGCCGTGGCACCACCAATCTCCCACATCTCCCAGTGGCCAATTCCAGCCCTGCTCCCACATCAGCTGAAGAGAGGAAAACATCTGTGTCTATAATCCCATCTTTCTTCATGTAAAAGTAAATGCAGGGCAGGAGTAAACAGGGGCAGCTCTGTAACAGATAATTTCTAATCCCACATACCACCTGGATGTATCTGTAAACCTTTTCAACTTTCGATAGAGCAAAACCAAACAGAATCATTTCATATGCAAATGTGTTTGAAATTATCTGCATTCAGGATTTCTTGGTTCCTTTTCCTGGGCTGTAGCCCTGCTCTCTCTGCTGGGCTCTGCAGGGAGGACTTGAACTCACGTGTGCCCTGAGCTCACAGAAGCACAATGCTATTTTGCTGATAAAAAACACTTAGTAAATGTCAATCTGGAATTAAACTGCACTCCAAACCTTTTGTAAAGCTACATTT